TTGAAATAAAGGCCAGACATTTGTCCACTGTGTCAGTATTCAAGTGTTGTGGTGGCCGGTGGGCAACTATGAATGTAAAACTGAGTATATACCAGTTCTAAACAACACAACATTTGGGTATTGTTTACATCAGAAGGTCCTCATATAGCACATGCGCTGATCAACAGACTTGAGGTGCTCAAAATCAAATGTGCTCAAAATCATTTTTTTGAGATTGCATGTCCGTTCATAAAAATAATTTATCAGAAAAAAGGTAAAATTTGGCCACACATTATTGTCTGATAATCGAAATACAGCGCGCTATTGTACGTGAATCACTCGGCATATGAACAGATTTTTTTCATATTCGAAACGATCGGGCTTTTAGCTGCTGAATGACATGTTTTTCATGCCAAGTGGAGAAAAAGTAAGCAAGTTCGAGTCCGATAAAAAATGTTAGCCAGAATCACATATTTTCACCTCTGTGCCTAATTAAAGCAGTGCATAACATAATCTCGTTCCCCGAGCCTGCGATCCTCGGGAAGGAACGTGAAGGCGCAATTCCAGTCCTCGCACGAAGCTCCTCGCACGAAGCTCCTCGCACGAAGCTCCTCGCACGAAGCTCCTCGCACGAAGCTCCTCTTAAGCATTGTGATTGGATGAAAGTGCTCATGCATGCACTCGCAGCGAGCTGCGAGGAGCTTCGTGCGAGGACTGGAATTGCGCCCTGAGGCTCTGGGATAATCCGTTTCAGGGAGAAATTCCTGGCTTCCGGCAACGGATTATCCGTTCCTTCCCGAGGATCGCAGGCTCGGGGAACGAGATTGTGCATAACAACAACCTCGTTCCCAGGGTCTTTCTAACATAACAATAGAAAAGGCAATTGATCACGAACTTGTCACAGCTAGCTAAGATGCTAGCTAAGATTTATTCCTACTTGACAATAATTATGATATATGTGCGTAGTTTAATGAAGTGGAATTCATCAACTTAAGTCCTAAAGGGGGTTAATTTTCAATGGTTTTAGACCCAACTCTCAACAGTGAAAATATGCGATTCTAACTAACATTTTTTTTATCGGATTCGCATTTGCTCATTTGTCATCCATTTCGCATATCATTCAACAGCTAAAAGCCTGATCTTTCCAATTTCGGCCAATATTGGTCAAAATCTCGGCCATACGCAGCGTAATTCAGATGCAATAGCGCGCTGAAGTTCCATTACCTTTTTTTGATACACCCTTTATAGCCTGTGTCAGGCACCATGCTTGAAATAGTGCCTGCTACTGAAGTCAATAAAAAGTGCGGACAGTGATTTGGATGCCAGAAAATATTAACCAATCAAAACGGCGATTGTTAATTTCAAAAATTGGTGACACTGCCCCTTCATTAACACACGAGTTAGGAGTAGCTATGACTGAATACAAACCTGTTGTGAAAATGTATCGAGTTCATCAGCACAAAAGACACGATATTTTGCTAATCTTGCGAGTGAAAATTTGCAAACTATGTTGGAGCCACCAGCAATCTAGAAAATAAACAAACCAATGTGATCGAAAAATTTAATATATAGATTATAGAGTAAGAAAACTTATTACAGTTGTAATCTGTTGCATGTTACATGCTATTTGTTAATTTTGTTGCAATTTTGACCTGTAATTAATTAAAAAGGTAATCAATCACAAAACAAAGGAACACATTCCTAAGGCTAAGTAGAGGAAAATCATAAAAAAATTTTATACGAGAATCTTTCACAAAATGATCAAATATTATTTTCTACATCAAGAAAAATATAAACGTTGAAAATGCAAAAACAAAATGTGCCATTTCTGTGGCTGTTATGGCCAACCTATTTCAGTACTTTCCAAAACCAAAAATGTCATAGAACATTTGTTGTACAGTGCGCACACATGCAAAATTGACAAGTAAAACTTGCATGCCATATGAAAACTTGTCATACATGTATTTTTATTGAGTACATTACATACACCCTTTTCATAAATGGCTGCCGATTAAAAATTCTTTTATGTGCATATAAATTGGCCCAACTAGCCTCGTACTCATGTTAAGATTTCAAAGGAATTTCTACCCAGAAACGAGGCTAGTTGGGCCAATTTATATGCACATAAAAGAATTTTTAATCGGCAGCCATTTATGAAAAGGGTGTATAGTATAATTGTTTTTGTTTGTGGAAACACCACGTAAATTTATTACTGCAATATATATACTGGTGTATAGTATACATAATTAACCCATTGAGTCGCACTGCGCCCCCTGACGATTTTACTCGTCAAGTAAAATCGTAAAATGGCGCTTAATGGGTTAATATTATTTTTAAAATTCATTTAATAATTCACGACGAAAATAGAAAAGAAATGAATGTTAAATCAATGTTTGTAAATCGGATAAAGATTTGCATTAAACTTCAGCTTTGATTTTCTCGGCTTAGACAATGTTTATTTTTAAAATTACTTCGCCAATGAACTCATAAGATGGGTCATTTTTTAAGTACAATAAAACATTCGCATCCGATCTGTATCTGATATACAAACTATCGCCTTCAGCTCGAGTTTGTAATATATCAGATACAGATCGGCTGCTCAAGACATGTTTTATCTAGGACATAAAATATTCCTGTTCAAACACAGGCGGCCCAATCTCTAAACGTCCTATATATTTTGAATATTTAACCGTTATAATATTTTAAAATAACAAAATAATTCAAAAAATATTAACAATATACGTAAAAAATATATCTCACTTGTTAATAGAATCCATTTGTTGTGTTTCTGAGTCTAGTTGATGCGATTGCTTTACGTTTTCGTCGTACTTGAACGGTCGTCAGTACTATGGCACTGGACGACATGGCCGTATAGGACATAAATAACTACAAGGCTAGCCACTTATCTGATATACTCTCCGACATCGAGTCCAATATCTCGCCTCAGAATCGTTGCAGAGCAATAAATTTCACATCGCCTAATAGTATGAACGTTCCTCTTTCGAAAGAACTTGGTTTGTTCATCATTGCGGCAATTCCCGCGACACACGGCGAACTTTGTTTGTCTAAAATTCAAAATTCCATTTTCGAAAGAGCCGCTAACCCCATGACCGTTGCCACGAGAAGCTGCTCAGCAACCTGGCCTCCTCGTTTGAAAACATTCCATCAGGGGGGGACGAGCTGGACTGGAATGAGGGGGCTTTCAAAGCAACACGATAAAACACACGATATAAATGTTTAATACTTGTTTATTGTCGAATACAGCATGATAAAGTAATAATTTCTATTTATATCGTGTGTTTTATCGTGTTGCTTTGAAAGCCCCCTCATTCCAGTCCAGCTCCTCCCCCCTGATGGAATGTTTTCAAACGAGGAGGCCAGGTTGCTGAGCAGCTTCTCGTGGCAACGGTCATGGGGTTAGCGGCTCTTTCGAAAATGGAATTTTGAATTTTAGACAAACAAAGTTCGCCGTGTGTCGCGGGAATTGCCGCAATGATGAACAAACCAAGTTCTTTCGAAAGAGGAACGTTCGTGCTATTAGACGATGTGAAATTTATTGCTCTGCGACGATTCTGAGGCGAGATATTGGACTCGATGTCGGAGAGTATATCAGATAAGTGGCTAGCCTTGTAGTTATTTATGTCCTATACGGCCATGTCGTCCAGTGCCATAGTACTGACGACCGTTCAAGTACGACGAAAACGTAAAGCAATCGCATCACCTAGACTCAGAAACACAACAAATGGATTCTATTAACAAGTGAGATATATTTTTTACATATATTGTTAATATTTTTTGAATTATTTTATTTTAAAATATTATAACGGTTAAATATTCAAAATATATAGGACGTTCAGAGATTGGGCCGCTTGTGGTTTATCCAGTTGAAAATTAATTCCGTTATTTCTAAGGTCATATTTTTCATTATTAGAGAATCCAAACAAATTAGCCATATTGGCCGGTGCCTCCGGATTTTTAACATTAAACATGAATGTGAATCTCCCGCTCTCCCTTCTTTCCTCAAGTGTTTGCCAATTAAAAGCTCTTTTAGCAATTCACTTGCTCGTATTTCATATGATTTGCCAGTAATTATTCTTGCCGCTCTATTTTGCATTTTTTTGCATCTTGTCGTGCAAGTACTAGTAATTACTGCAATTTTCCAAAACTAGACTGCAATAATCAATAAAAAGGAAATATCAATAAAATAATGCATCTGTAGAGAATATAGAGACCGACGTTACAGAGACTGACGTTAGCAACTTTAGCAAATATAGGTGGCGTGGACGAGCGTTGATCGATAGTTTTAAATCCGAACACTACAGGAAAGTTGTAAGACTGTTAATATTAATATATCTTCAGAAATAAATTATTACATTGGTGGCAGCGGCAAACAAAATATAAAGAATGTCTAGCGCTGAATTACTTCAAGAAATGTGGAGAGAACCCTCTTGAGGTTTGCACGGTGGACTTACCCAGACTAGTCCCAAGTCCTCTGTGCACGCTTTTGATTTCCGTGACGTCACCGAGCGAAACGCGCGCAAGAGGACTAGCACAAAACGTTTTCTAACCTGCAAAGCAGGTACTCGCGGGCTTGGCAAATCCCGTAAATGTTTTCCAATATGGCGGAATTCCACAATTTATAAAATTGTATAAACATGGAAGAATATGCAGAATATTTATAGGTAAACGTGAGTATTAAAGATATTATGGTTGTACAATGTAAATAATAAGGTATTATAATAACTTCTTTCAGAAATGACGTAAATTTAAAGTAAATTGAAACATTTTTTGACTATTAGTAGCACTCCTCACCCTGATCATCATCTGTTGACTGAGTTCACTAAGTGCATCTCACCCGATAGAACTAACTGTTGAAAGGTTTTGTAGATAAATATTTTGAGTGTAAAGTTTATACATTTATGAGTCCTGACCAAGAGCAGTTGTGAAAAATGCAACTACAAGCCCTCTGGCAGGAATCCAACCTGACCAACCAGCTAGCTGCACCCTTACTTTTGTATATATACATGCACGTGCAGTTAGAGCTTGACACCTGGACTTTGTAGCTTAGTTAGTTACAGCACTGGACCGGAATCGCAGAGACGCAGGTTTGATTCCTGCTAGATGGCCTATAGATGCATTTAAATAGAGAGATTTATGCCCGTATTCTAAAAGCTCACTCACACTCGATGAGTGGAGGTTCAATCTGAGCTTCTCTTGAGTGTCAATGCTGTTTTGGAACAGGGAAGGTAAGTAATCACTGAGTACAAGGTGACACTAGCCCTCCAGCTGTTCAAAAATAGCATTGACACTCAAGCCAAGCTCAGATTGAACCTCCACTCACTGAGTATGAGTGAGCTTTTAGAATACGGGTGTTAAATGGTGCACTGCCAGGACAATTTGCCTCTTTTGTTCATAGAGATGTGGATTCATTTGAGCATAAAAGGCAAATATTGCACTAACAATATCCACAGCAATAAAGAGTACTTGTATTGAGTATTAATATTATTATGATTATATAGTGATTTGATGCAGGTTGATGGTAATGTGTACAAAGTCATTTTTCTGGAAAAAGCAACCATTACTGAGTGCAATATAAAAATTAAGCAATATTCCAGTGACATGTATCACAAGAGATATCTGTTGAAGATGGCTTGGATTGGTTTATTGGCCTTTCTCACCTTCAAGTGATTTGCAACCTGTCATGGAGAAAGTTTTTGTATATTTTACATGTATATAAAAAAATAATAATTGTAATAGATGCTTTCTCTGCAGAATAACTAATAAAAGATGATGCTTTGGGGCTTATTTCTGCTTAATGAGCTGTAATAATATCATATTCAACAATTTAATAAATTAAAAATTCAATAATAATTTTAATAATAATAAATTTCATAATTTTATTACAATAAATACATTTATTATTATGTGTTAAATTAACAATATTAACCTCCAAATTTTATTCTATTCCTGTTCACATGTGCCTGCCTGGAGTGTTTGTGTTGAAATTGTTGCATGAAACATGACACTATGCAGACTGCAGTTCGGCCAGTTCCTGACTTGACGAAATAAATTAACAGCAAAATTATGTACATCCATGTTGTCCAATATGTCTTTTGCCTGAACGTTGTCACTCACAAATACCACTTTCACCAAATTCTTCAAATATGACCTTGTTTAATTGCCACAGGTAAAACATTTCCTAAACATCAAACAAAAATTATAAAATAAAAATTGTTGGCAAGTACATAACAGATCTATATTTTGATCTATAAATTCTTAACAACACATTGCTCAAAGCTCGCAAATATTCAAACGTTCTAGTTAACACAGGTGAATACATGCATTTCAATAGTGTATTGATAAATATCATTACTATATTTACCATGCATTTAGTTAATATTCTACATTACAGCAGACTTAGGGACCGGTCATAAAGTATCTACAACCCCGGGGCGGAGGGTATTCTGATGGGGTGTGAAACTGTTCCCCACACATTTGATGGGGCACAAAATATTTTGACAACCAATTGATGGGGTACGAAATTTTCAACAAAGACTAATATAGTAATGCATATAGTACTCAAGATCTGTCACTCATTAATTTTGTAAAATATAAATTTACATTTCTACAATATATAAAATCTACCATAAAGAGTATATCAATATGTTTTTTACTTATAAATGGAAATTATGGTTGATGTGGGGGCTCAAGGCCACCAGCACCCCCTCCCCCCCAAAAAAATTGAAGCTGGTTTGCTTTCCAAAGTTTCACAATGCTATCAGAGTCAAAGAGCTTTAATCTGAATTCCATCACATACTAGAGCCTAACTTTCCAGTTTTTCAATTAGTTTCTGAGAACTTGTCTCTTGGTTTGACGTTAGACAGAGTATTGCTAA